CACTAGCAGGATTCCTGGAATGCATTTTCTGTGTTAATGCAGTTAAAGATGCTGAAAACTGGGAAGCTAGTTGTGCTCTGAAAATGGATGTAGATGTTTCTTTTGGCAATGGAGATCATTTGAGCGGTTCCTGCACACCTCCTGTAATCAAATCCATTCCCCCTTACAACAACTTTGATTGCCAAGGCCACAGATTTTTTGACCTCTCAGCTGTGCTGGTAAAACTGTTAGTGGGGCAGGTTATTTTTAACTTGCACTGGTTCACATCGTAGTCCTGTGAAAAGTTGTACTAGCACAGTTGAGAGAACAGTGCAGCAGCAGGGTGGGCACTTGTTAGGCTGGCTTTGTTGCCAGGAAAAAAGGCAGTGAAAGCTTGGCTTCAAAACATGGGGTTGAAATAAAAAAAAGAAAGGTTAAAAGATCTGAAATAATCTTGATACTCACCTTTTAAAAGCTACCATACATTTCGAGTCACCTTTTGAGAATACCTTAATATGTACATCCTGATTCGTTAAATGAAACATCCATAAGAGGTGCCACCATTTGGTGTAACTTTCTGAAAGTCCATGCCTGTGGTGTATCTGGGGTTATCGCATTTCCCTGAGGTCAAATAAAACTAATTTTTTTTAAATAAAAAGCCCGAACTCATATTTATGTTGTCAGTTTTGTGAAAAAAGTCTCTGAAAATAGTCTTTCCTTTTGCCTTGAAGTCTGATAAACTTTGCCTCTGTGTTAGTGAAGAAAAGGTGTTCTGAAGAATGTCCTTCTACAGAGGAGAGTCAGGCTTGATTCTCTTTCCAGGACCTGGCGCATGGACCCTGTTGTCTCTGTCAAGTGGAAATTGACTTCAGGCTCTTCCTCCTTCCCCACAGCAAGAATCTAGTTTAGTGTCTTCTCTTCTTTCCTGGTACAATGTTTAACTTCAGCACCCCAAGCTGAGGCAGGGAGGAAGGAAGGAGTATAGCTTTGCTGCTTTATACGTCCCCAAAACTTAGCATGTAACATCAGCAGCCCCATTCTCATGCACTTTAATGAAAGTAGGGGCATGATTCTGTCTGCTCCCCTGTGATAAGCTATTGCAGACTAATTATTTCTACAGTCCATCACCAAATCTAGCAGCTCATTACTCCTATCCTGCAATTGTCCTCTCTTATTAGATATTAGACAGTTTCTCACTGTGTCTGTGCTGAAGACTTCAATTTCAAATGCTGTTGATAGATAATGAAGCATATTCTCAGTTGTACGTATTTATGCTTTCAAAAAATAAACTTACCCCAAAGTTTAATATATATGTAGCTCAAAATATTTTTGGAAAGAAGAACATAATGGGAAATTGTACAGAGAAATGTGTTGAATAAACACCCTCTTCATCTTACAAGATAAATCATTACGTTTTTAAGAAATATCCGTTTATGATTGTGAATGTAATCCTGATTTTGTCACCTTGTGTATAATGTTTGATAGTCTTTAATGACATATACATTAGTGCTGGTCTGGTGCCCTGGCTGTCAGGTTTAGGGAGTTAAATTGTCAGAGAACTGTTACTGCATAATAGGGGGAAGTCAAGCTTCCCCAACTAGTGTGCTTTGTCAGGTAAGTGTTGCATCACCACAAAAATGAGAGAAGTATTGGTAATGTTTTTTGTTGGCAGTGGCCTGGTAATAAGACTAGAAATTTCTAGAATATTCCTCACTTTTTGTCAAAGAAGTCCAACAACAGATTGAATTTGATTTGCTTAACTGCTCATTAATTTTGAGAAATTCCTATATTGACTGGAGTTACTATTGGGTTCCTCATGCAAAATACTATTGTTTCCCCTCCAATTTACCAAAAAAGGGTGACACTGAATTTTGCGAAGGTCTGTGTCTTAAGCAAAGCAAACACTGTTGTATTGGGATCCTGATCTTGGTTGTTGCTGAGACAGCCATGTGATTTTATGCAATTACTGGTCTTACTACAAATTGAGTTATTGCTAGTGTGTGTAAAGAGACATAGAAGTTTCTTATTTCCTGTATTGTTCAGAAACACTTTCAAGATTATATTAGAGGATGTGAAAATAAAGAAGAAAACTTAATTTGTCACCACCATTTATTTAAAAAAAAAAAAACAGTTATGATTAGTGGTGCTGATTGTAATCTGGTTAATTTCAAAAGCTACATTTTTCAGTACTATTTTCGTACATGACTTTTCCTTACTGCAAGAGCAAGTCTCTAAGCACGAGGGACTCAGTCTAATGAGATCTATGCAAAATTTTTATGAAGTCCTAATTAGTAATGAAAACGTTATGCAAAGCATTATGGGTATGGTTTGGGGGTTTTGTCATTCTGGAGTTTTTTGTTTGAGGTTTTTTTTGTGGGTGGTTTGTTTTTTGTTGTGTGGGGTTTGGGGAATTTTATTTTGGTATTGTTGGGTTTTAAAGATGATGTGACTGGATGGGAAGCCCTGGTGCAGTCTTACAAAATTTGTGGGGCTATGGTAGATGGTGGGTTTTGGTGGGGTTTTAGTTGGGTTGGTTTAGATGCAAAGAGAATGAAGTTCTGACTAGTGTTTCAGTAATTCGCTTGTGCCAGGAATATTATATGCTTCATAGCAGGGTCTTCACATTTCTTGTGAATCACTCACTTGGATATAGGAGTATGTTTCAAAAGACACACCTTTCTCTGTGATGTCAGTGGCTTCTTCTAATAGTTACTGGTGGATTATACAAAAATAGTTTAAATTATGTGGAGGATATCTTTAGTATTTTCTCATCTTTAGTAGCAAAGATGAGAATTCAAATAATTATCAGAGAGGTGATGTGGTGCCGATCTTTGAAGATCTTCTATATCAGATCAGGTTCAAAGGTTCAACCTGTATAGAACATTGCAGGGTGGGGAGGAGGGAGTGTGTGGGGAAGGAAAACCATTGTGTGGGAATTATGGTCAAATGCAGTAATCTTTACTGAACAGTGAAACATTTGTTTCATTAAAGTACTAAATGTTTTGGTATGTGTGGGTTTTTTTTAATTGTCTAGTCTCAAGATGGCAGAATTATTTATGGAATGTGAAGAAGAGGAGCTAGAACCATGGCAAAAGAGAGTGAAAGAAGTGGAGGAGGATGATGACGATGATGAACCAATCTTTGTTGGGGAAATCTCAAGCTCGAAGCCATCTAGTACATGTAAGATAACGTTTTCCATAATTTAAATCGGATATTTCAAACTTTGAACTTTGAAAATACAGAATTTTTAACAGTAGGACTGAAGAAATTCTACATCTTAAAGCTGGTTGCTGTCATACTGAAAATTGGAGTTCTTACAAAATTCTGTCCTAAAACCCAGGTTATGCACAGCTCTGTCTACTTCTAACCTTAAATTTCTGAAGTCAAAACAAGGACATTTGAAGGTTTAAGCACTAGCATTATGGTTAAAAATCCAGTATATATAGTGCTGAAAACATGCATGCAATTGCTCTTAATATAGTGATATTTAGTTATATGCTTGAAAGTGTCTCCCTGCTAAAGTAATGTGCATGAATTTAAGCCTTCATGTTACAGTCCCTCTTTTTTTCTCCACCCCACATTTCACGTGTTGGTGGATGGTCTGATTGGGTGGACATCATTCTGACAAAACCAAGGTAACTGTCTTAAGTGTCTGTAATAAAATCACAATGAGGAAAAGAGATTAATGTGAAAATAGAAGCCTCTCTGTTAATTAAGAGATTTTTATTAATAAGTTCTTTCATCCCCTGTAAAGTAAAGAGTTTTTTTCATCAAGTTCTGTAGTTTTCTCCTAATGCAGGCAGTGCAGGGAGTGAGGTTAGGTGGTTGTGATGACAGCAGATGTATCAGGATTCCATGTTTGTCCTGTGCTTGGGCTTTGGCAGGTAAGTAAAGGAGAACATTATTTTTGTTACTTAAATTAATTTTAATAATGAAACTTTCTGATTTCTGTATGCAGCCATCTTGTAGTCAATTATTAAGAGGTTTGACCTAAGGATTCTCTAGCTATCGAATACACAAAACTTTGCGTGGTGAGGTTTATCGTTTTCAGTTTCTGCCTTTTCTCTGCTATACTTGTATCCAAGATTTCCATAATCATTTTCTGAAGGTGTAGAGTTTGCAGTGAAGAATCTTGAGACAAAATGTTAAACTAAGCTTTCTGTCACACTCTGTTGCATGGACTTTGGAGCTATTATTAGCTGTTCGGTTGTATTAATTGGCAATACTTTCATCTTGCATCTGAACTCTATTTTACTTTGTTACTCAACTGGGGTAGTAAGTCTAATGCTCCTTACTCGAGCTTAAAAAAAGTGGAAAATTACATTTTAAATATTAAAGAATACTGAAGCTGATGTTAAAGTTGTCTCACATGAAAATAGTTCTTAAGGGTTAATCTTTTTGAATATTTTAAAAATATTCTAGATCTCTTGAAAATTTGAAGAATATTTTTAAATTATTCTAAGAAGTTTTCTGCAGTTAAAAACTTCTAGAAGGACTGAAAAATACCCTTACTCTTTTCTGGAAGATAGACCTCTGCATTGCTGTTGGTCATTCATTGGCAGTGGGTCATGGCATAGAACAACTATTAAGGCACTAGGCATAGGTTAGAACAAGAAATATGCCAAGTTTCATTGCAGTTGTTGTAGTCTCAGGATTTTTTTGTAGTCATAAAAGATAGAAGTAGTTCACGTGAAATCTATAATTTTTATGTGATTCAACAACTTCAAGAACTTTGGTAAAAGATAGAGACTTGCAATGTGTACATCTTACTCTAGTGCTGTCCATACTCGGTCCTGACACAGTAAAATCACTTATGGTATAACTTTTTACTTTATCTCTTTTCCTTCCTTCAACCTTTCTCTTTATAATCTTCTTCTTCACTATCAAAAACAGCTATGGAAGAATGACCTCAGTTCTTCTCTGGCTTGTAAGTAGTACTACCTGGCAGTAGTCAGGTTTCAGTTTGTTATTGGTGATAGGCAAGACACAGTCAACTCAACTTTGCTTATCACTGTTGTTTAGTTTTCGCCTGAGAAAATTCCTGTCTGAGCAGATGAAAAATTAGATGACAAATGGAGACTCGCATGTAGTTCTTAATTTTTCTTAAAACCGTATTTTCTGCAATATATAGCAATTTTTTAACCTTTTCCTGACAGTGCAATTATCAGTTTTTATGCAGACTGGTGTGGAAAACTTGAAGGAAATAGTTAAAAACCAAACTTTGACCTGCTGGCAGTGTCATGTACAATAAAGTGCCTCTTCTGACATACTGGAGGATTAGTTTGACTGGGATGAAAAGTAATTCACCCTTTGTTTGCTTTACCATTTCCTGCAGCTGCTCATTTGTGCTACAGTTACTGCTCATTTTTCTTCCTTTTTCATAATTTTAGAAACCTGTAATTTGTTACTACTTTAAAATGTTATCTTTGTTATATTGAGTGCTGTTTTACCTGAACAGGAGAAATAACGCTTTGATGGGGGAGGGAAAAAGGGCACATCAAGTGTGTAATCAATCAGTTGAGTCACGTAAATCTAGTTTATAATTTCAAATCACTGGCTTCCTGAAATGTTATTTTTAAAAACAGTAAATCTGCCTTTGTATTTTAGGATGTGAACTGTGTGTGTACCAGACTGTCTGAAGCTGAGTATGCTTTGTGAGATATTACTTTTAGGATAGCTTTTTCTTTGGTAGGTAGATGAAGGCTAATTTCAAATGTGAGATATATGCCCTAATTTCAAATATGAGATATAGATTTATTAACAAACACAAAAAGGTATGTGTTCAGCTAAATCCTGAATTAAGTTAATCCTTGCTTGTAGTTAGTGTTGTCTTGAAGTACAAATAGTATTACTATTACAGGGTGACATTTCATCATATCTTAAAAAATGCAGACCTGTTTGGATCTGTTGGTTGCAGCTGCTTTTTTATTAGTATGGTCTAAATGCAGGTGACAGGTGGAAAGCTCTGATCTTCTGAGCTCTACTGCTATTAGATTTATTTATCAACCTGAGTAGTATGTACTAATGAGCCATTGCTGGTGGAAACAGCCCTAAGGTTGTTAAACACAATGTGTAGATACTCTGAGACCTATTGTTTGAGATCTTTATGTAATTTGACCCTGGTTTGAGAGGGTACTTTAAAGCTTGTTGGTTAGATATTGGAGCATCAACCTGATTTCATATGCATATTTTCACATGTCAGAGCAAGAAACTTGACAGCGACACTAACAGAATTTAGAATCTGATGATAGAAAAATATTTTGATTTAATTAATATTTTTGTAACCTTCTGGAATGATCAGAAAGCCCAGACTAAGACATAAAAAGACAGGGAATATTAGTGGCGTTAGTTAGGGAGTAAACATCAAATCTAAGAAATTCCACATGTATCAGATGAGCTAGAACTCTGCTCTTAGACTACCATGTAGGCTATGTAAGGAAATCAGTCCTCTTGTGATACAATTCCAATACAACTTAAGTTGCTGGTCTGTTGATTTTTCTTTCACGTTGGAAAATGAAGATCATGAAGTCTAAAAACAAGTTTGCAAGTGCTATATTTTCCTGTAATGCAGAAGTAAATTGTGTAGTTACAGGTTTAGAGAAAATGCTTCCTTTAATGTAGAGCAGTTCTAGTATTTGGGGAACTTATTATGTATATGAGGAACAGAAGTGAATAAATGCATTATAATTATTAAAGCTAAATATTTATGAAATGTTCCTTTTTCTGTTTGCACTCTTATTTATGTGTTAATCTATCTCCAAGAAAATCTAAGATTCTTACGTGAACTAGCTTAACCTAAGGGAAGAGGAGTAGAAGAGCAGGTCTTAGTTTGTACAAATGATGCTTTGTTTTGCCAGGTCCTTATTTTAGAAATAATATTCTAATTTATAAGTCAAACCCTAATTGGCTTAATTAGTGGAAGTAAATGCTAGTTTTAATTTGAAAAACAATTAAGCTATTAATTTAACTGCAATTAAGATAAATGTGACTTTTGACAGATATATTGAACAGAGTCAACCTCAGCTCATCACGAAGGGGGATACAGAATGGTGCACCCAGTAGAGGTACTTTATTGTCCTAATATGGTAATTAAAAACAAAAAATCCACAACACTTATGAAACATTTGACTGCAAAATTATATAAAGGTAACTTTGGAATCCTTTGCAACAGGTACAGTTACTGCATTCAAGCCTGACAGTCACCATTATGCGACACCTGCCTCCAGCCCCAGTGCCCTGCCTGTTTCATCAGTCTTTCAGTCTGTATCCAGACCTACAACTAGTTCTGTAGAAGTTCAGCCATTGTCTATACCAGTGAATGTTTCAGGAGCTTCACAAACACTGCAGAGACCAGTTGCTGGATGTTTGTCAACACAGCAGATGCCTGGGTCAAGTTCTGGAATATCACAGCCTGTTAGCAGACCTGTAACCATTCCAGTGACGACACAGCCAGTATCAAGAAATATCACGGTTCCTGTAGTGGCTCAACCTGTATCCAGGCCAGTGACTACTGTAACAGCAGAGCCTGTAATACTCGATCAGGTAAATTTTTATTCCCTTAAACTGTAAAATACTCTGGTGCAATTACTTTTGAATAAATTAATGAGGAACATACTGACTCAGTGTAGTAATTTGAAGACCTGGACTAGATTATAGACTAGCAGTATATAAACTGTAAAGATTCTAGGACTGTAACCTTGCACTGGTGAATTAAAATATATATTTGAAAATACTGACTTAAAGATGATAGCTTTAGTTACAGTGGAATTACATTAAAGGAAAATCTCAGGCATAGGAGAAATTAGTACTGTTTAGGTTATTTTGTTTATGTTGTCTGGTGATATGTTGGAAATGCTTATTCTCTAAGTTTTTTGGGTTTCTTTACTCAGAGATGGATCCTTTGTATTGATAAATGAATTTTGTTTTTAAATAGCTCGCATTTGATGTTTAAAGTAACTTTGTGGCTTTCCCACCTGATTTTTACAGTGCTTCCCTTGGGATTTTTGCTTCTTGAGAGAATACTGTAGTGGTAGCTCCTTAGGTGTTTTTGGTTCATGTGCCAGTTGTAGTGAAACAGTCAGATAGTAAGGAGGACTTAAGCAACCAAAAATTGCAGGGTCAGTAGATGAAACAATTTGGCAACATACTTATTTTGTTTGAAAAGCCCAAGGGAATTTAGGCACATAGATCATATATCGTAGATCTTTCTGGATTGCCACAGAACCTTGGAATGATACCTTTAGGGAGTCAAGTTAGATGCTGTTTTTATTGCCTTAGCTGTTGGACATTTGTGAGAAGGAATGAAGATTAAAATTTCATATTTGTATGAGCTAATATTATGGCTATAATATTAGCTTACTACTGTCAGGGTTAAAATGAAGCCTGACAGTAGGCACCATCTCCACCATCCATGCAAACATACACACCTGCCGTTGTCCCAGCTGTCAGTCTTTTGATAGAAATAAAAATCATGCAACCTAATGTATTCTGCATTTGCTGAACAGCGGTGTCAGTCTATGAACATAGTTAATAAGGCCATTAAAACATGAGAATTGGGTGTTCTTAAGACTTGTGGCTAAGCCATTGCTGATGGGGGTTTGTATTTTAAGGAAGACAATGCAGTGGAATCATTGTCTAGCAACTGGGTAGCTGAGTCTCTGGCAGATTCATTAGGAATTAGGAAAGGAATCCTATTTTCCAATTTTGAGTCTTCAGCAGTTGATTGATAGTTTGCAGAGAGAAATTGTGGGCATGTCTGGTGAAGCTACATCAGTCTGTCACTGTATCTAAGAAGGCCTGAAAAATTATTTAATCAAAAGTACAGATATCAGTGGGATATCTAGATTGCCTCTGGAGTCCTCTTAAATCTATCTTTATAGAGCAAGGCAGGTAAATACAGAAACGTCTGCTACTTCACATAATGTATACACATATTTCAAGTCTGTGAATTTTACTTTTATAAATGTTTACTTATGACATAGTATGCTTTATTAAATCCTTTGAAGGACTACCGGGATGTCTTGCAGACTCTTCACTGCAAAAGAAAGCCTCCCCCTTTACTTCCCTTGCCCATACATGCTCATGTTTTTGTTCTAATAGATAATGCTGCTAATGGCCTCTACATTGTTTTTGTTAGAAAACCTTAGAGGAGACAGACCTAGGAAGGCTGAACTTCTCCGAAGATATGTGCAAGCTGGATATAACTTGTCAAGGCAGTGATTTCCTTTAAAGACACTATGCACACAGCACTTCTTTTTGTGAGGCTTCTTTTTCATTCATCAAGTTTACTTTCAACGGGAATGTCACAGATGAGACTTAAGTTTTCTAGTTTCATTTGGCCAAAATCTGCAGTTTGTTTTTCTTCCCTGGCAGAGTAGAGAAACACCTATTTGAAGAAGTTGCAGCCTGAAATATGACTTTCAAGTTACACAGCGTGGAAAAAGATCTCTAACCATGTGTTAGTCAGTTCTATCTATTCCAGGTTAGACTGACATGCTTTAGGAAGTAGTGCATAGATATTCCACTATTGAAGTTATCATATATTATGATTTCTTTACAGTGTTGACATTTTGATCATGACTTTCATGAGCTCTTAATTTTTTTAAGTTATCCTAAATGTAACACCATATTCTTTGGATGTTAAGGAATTCTTCGGTACCTTTAGAAATATTTTTCTGGGTTTTTTTCCTTGTTTTAAGACATGCTGAAAGTCTATCTTCCATCTCTTCCACCTAACTTTTCTAGATTCAGAATTGTATTTCCAATTTTAGCCTTATCTAGAATAATTTGTTTTCTTGGTTTTGTATTGTTCCTGCCCCTTGATTATGTTATATTTTTTATGGGGAAAGAGGCTTGTTTGGTTTGCCTTGTTTTCAGTGAGGTACAGTAGTTCAGCTTCTTGGGCAAAGTTACGTGCTTTAATCACTCCTGACACATATGTCACTTGCTGTTCTTGGTGTCATCTGTATACTACCCATATTTTGGTTCCTCTCCTTGGTTTGAATTGTCTTCATTCAAGAGCTCTGGAGGTTTTTCTGAAAAATTTTTTTCCCCTGTTATCTAGTCTTTATTTATTTGAAGCCACTGTTTTATATTGATGATTTTCTGCCTTGGGCCCTCTGTGGCAGTTATGTTCACACATTTTCTGTTTCTTCCCAACTTGTTTCTTCCTAAGTGGCAAGGGCTTCATGTAAGTTTCTCTGGTAGATCTTTGACATTTGGACCTTCAGTTTCCAGATGTTGAAACTTACCTTCAAAACTAAAATACTGTGATGTGAAGATAGCTGAGTTATGACTAGACACTATGGCAGGACCCCTCTTTAGCTGAACAACCTTCAGAGTGCCTTTGCATTCTTAATATGACGCAATGTTTTTTGATTTTGGGATGTCAAATTTTTTTCTGTGGGAACTGGTAGCTTTTGATCACCAACTGGGTTGAAACACGGTTCCTCAATTTCATAACATGTGGGTCTGTAATTTACCTTTTGCCAATGTTTGGTGTTACAGTTTTGTCACTGAAATACCCCTTTCCAATCACAGGCTTGATTAACTGACTTCCTGTAAAAGTCGAGGCTTTGTGTTCTTTTTACTGCACTATGTTAATGCAGTTCCAAAAATTCAGAGTTGAATTTGGCTTCGGTTGTACTGTTCACAGTAATTCTAATTCAGTCAGAACTACTGCAGTTGTATATGATAGCATAGCGCTATCCTCTTCCCAGAAAATTTATTCTTATTGGTGAAGATCTTCTGTAGTTCAGTGCTCAGAATGCTCTCCAATAAGCCCCAGCCAGTTCTGTCTGTACCTTTCCCCTACTTAGTAGGCACTTTCCTCAGTCTGAGTGTGATTCAGGTTCCCATTGTACTTAATTTTTGAGAGAGCGAAGGTCCAATACCATGCATTGTATTTCCTCTGTGTGGATTTGGTTACCAATTATGTGTTGGTTTCCACAGTTCTAAGGTCTAAGATCTGTAGTATGAACCTAGTATTTTCACTAGTCTCTTGGAAAACTGAGACTGGTGGGGATTATTTTTTTGTTTTCACTTGAGTCCTAGGACATTAATTTATAAAGATGCTGGGTTTTGCCTTTCTCCATGTGAGAGCACTTGTACATTTTAGTTTGATTTTTTTTTTCATTGATATGTTAAAGATGTTTTGCTTTTTCTTTAAAACTTTTTTGCGTTCTAAAGCGTGGGAAGGTATTGAGTTTTTCTGTATGTAAAATGACAGAGCCAAATTGAATTAAAGGAATAACTGTAAACATAAAAGGACATTTTGAAAATTATGAGACTTTGCATTTCTAGGATGCCTGTTTTTACTTTCTTAACCATTGGACACAGTTAGTATATGCTAGGGAGATGTACGTATGCTATCAAATTACCCAGGCTATTATTTTGAAGAAAGCTGAAATGTTAACAGCACTTAAACAGACCAGAGAGTAGTAAGACAATGAGATTTTGTGTGTGGCTATTGTATTGGTCATATTTCAAATGCAGGTGGTGTGCATAGTCCTTCACACTAAGCCCACCACAGGCTTACCGCCTGAGCATTTGTTGTGTTTTGACAAGGGGTTTGCAGGCTAAGCTGCTTTGCTTGTAATTTCACTGGCTAGTCTGAAACCACTGTGGCTACAGCAACACCTTCTCTGTTGTGACTGCATCTTATGTAGCTGGCACTCATAAGAAATAGAGCAAAGAAATATAGTAACTATTTCCACAAGTACTCTTGAACATCTTATGTTTGATTTGATTATAGGTTGGATTAGGTCACTCACCAGAAGAAGGAATGGCTCTTCATTATCATTGAGGTCCTGCAGGGTCTTCATTTAAGAGATGTACAACAAAAAGGCAGGATGGGGAAAAGCATCTTCCTTTTTGTCCAAATCTTTTCTGGTACTTAAGAGTCCTAAAATAGGTTATCATACCTGTATGTGTATTTGTGCACTTCTTTAGGCTTGTTTCCATCAAGTTTAGTCAACATGGTGGTACTTACAAGTGTGAACTTCCGCAGAGATGTTTTCAAATAAGTAGCACAATTGTGGATGGAAAGCGTTTTGTAAGATTGATCTATACAGCAAAAAGTATTTTGGCTTTTGTTTTGTGGATACTCTATGATAAAGTCTGTGTATATATATTTTTTTTTCTTAGGAAAATGGAGCTACTTTTGTCAAGTTTTTTGTTTCACTGTATAGCTTGATGAAGTGTAACCGTTTGAATTATTTGAGTAGAAGGATCAAGTGCCAGTATTTTGCTGTTCATACCTTAATGTTGAAGTTAAACCTAACTCTATTATAAGGTTTTCCTTAACTCCTTATTGCTGTTGCTGAAAATACTTCGTGATCCAGATGGTTTGTCTTAGGCTGAGTGGCCTATCTCGCACCCTAACCTTGAATATCTGTCCAGAGAACTAAATTTCATGTTTCTTTTCCCTCCAAATTTTACCTATTGAGTGATCAGTTAAGGTGTCTTGTTTTAACAGTTTTTGTTGTTGGAGACAAGAAATGTGGACTATTTCATTTTTTAGGTTATATGTAGTACTAAGGGGCAAACCTTCAAACTGAGGGGTAAGAGTCTACCTGTGCTTGGAGATGCTCAGAATTTAATGTAACAAGGTGCTGAGAAACTTGAACCAACTTTTAGGTTGGCTGTGCTTTGAAAAGAGGGTTTGATTATATTCCTTTCAGAAGTCCTTACAAAATTACATAAAAGAGAAAAAAAACCTTAGTGATATCACGAGTTTGAGTGCCATTCCTGGTCAATATCCTATAGATAGGCTTTTACTTTCATTAAAGCTTGGCTGCTTAGTAGAGTTTGATTGATTAATATCATCTTGCTCTGAGAAGCTTCTGAAGTTTGTGCTACTGCTGAGTTCTGTTTTCTGATCTTTTAAAATGCAGCTAGCTGTTACACAAGAGTAACAGGAAAGTGCCTGAGCTGGGACTGAAGAAAGAAAGTATGAGAGTTTTTTGAAAAACAAGTATAATTTGAAACATCATCAGACTTTTGAACAAAACCAGTTACAATTAGCAATTCAAACAGGTTTAGTAATATTTCATAAAATGGACTTTCCCAGGTCTTACGGTTGTTTTTGCTATTCTGATACACAGCTATGAATCAATTAACAAGCACTGATAAGAGTTGCAAGCTTATCAAAATGTCAAATGAGACTGTTTTGGGGAGATTATAATTAACTTGATTTATAGCTGAGTACTTATGGGTACTTTTAAGCAATCATATGTATTTAAAATAAACCCTTTGAAGCCTGCAAGTAAAAAAATGTTAAACCTCAAATTTCTTTTCCCTCTTGAAAATATCTTATTAGGATTATATTATGGATTCTCCACCAGCTGCACCAGATAATACATCTGGTATACTGTTTGGTGTGAGAGAGAACTCGGGAGTTCCACAGTACGAGACTGGGCCAGCAGTGAATGTAACAGGTGGGTATAACTGTAGTAGTTGATAAGAGAAAGAAACAGCCTAATGTCATTTAACTCTAGTGCAGATCTTTGGGTTATAACTTTAAATAGGCTTTCTACAACATAGTATAGCTACTTCTTGCTTCCCCCTGTACATAACACTGTATAATGTTTAATGAAATAAACTTTGGAGCCTTGCGTTGTCAGACTTTACTTTTCAGCACATGAGACTGACTGTAATATCAACTGAAGTCGTCTTATAATGCTTATTTAGATGGAAGAAAATATTGCCAGAGCCACTGTAATTTCTGACTGAGAGACTCGTTTTCAGTATATCCAGCACTCTGTGACTAGCATGAATAGGAATGGCAACAGAAGGGCTGTGAACAGTACCAGAACTTCCTGAGTCTACTGAGTGGATCCCCTGTGGTGATGATCTTGGTTTCGTGACAGCTACATGTAGGAGCTGGAGTAGACTATATATAGTAGTTGGAGGGGAAGAGAAAGAGTACGTATTTTGACAACTAAAGTATTTATTTTTCAACTAGCTAAACTGTGTTTTTAAGTAGGTTAAATACTTTCTGCTGAAACAAATTGAAAAGGGCCTTGTTTTGTGTCAGAGCAGATGGAATTAGATTTGCAGCATGCAACGTGTTCAATCTTAAACACACTATAACTTGGGACTTCCCTTCTCTTGTGAAGGATTGCATTTTTGTAATAACTGACCAGAATCCTGTCATTCAGTCTATAATTTACAGATGACAATCACTTCTGATTCATCCATGATGTAATAGATTGCATACAATGAACAGCCTAACTGTTCATCCGAACAAGTTATGTAGAACAGAGTGATTGCTGGTTTATTCTGCTTGATGTGATAATTATACATCTCTAGTTTAGGCAGATACTTCAGATGTGTCCAACTGTTCTGTGATATTGTTCTTATCTTACTGTTGTAAAGTAAGCAAGGGTTTTCTTTCTTGCAGAAGGTTCAGTATTACAGCCTTTGTGCTCCAGAGAATGGGTATTGAAGTTTGTTTGTGGGTTTGGTGTGTTTGTTTTTTTGTTTTTAATTTAGGAGACCTGCTTGCCTATTTAAAAATTACTTGTATTAGTCTCTTAAACACCAAAATGAAATACTTAAAAGCATCAAAGAATGTAATTCAAAGTGTCTTAAATATACCTACTTAGTCTATGTTTATTTCTGTAAAATGGCAATAGGATTTGGAAAGTAAGAGGTTTAATTGTGGGTTGAAACATGAGTGTCTTTATAACGCAGAAGGCAAATTTAAGATACATTTCACTTCACAACAAGGAAATGTCTGCATATTTTGTGGTTTGGCTTGCATGGTGAGGTCACATAATATGCTTATGTTCATATTGTTTGTATGTGCCAATGCGTATTTGCCTGTGTTAGTGCTGTACTTCCTCTAATTGATGTGCAGCGCTGGGCACAAGACATTCTGGAATGTAGTATTTAAAAACAGAATCCTTTTGGGAACTGTCCTGTGATACTCTCCAGGAGAATGTAACTTCTGTACGTGGATAGTTAAAGACATTTTTTTAGCTCATATTGCATACAAATTTATTTCTGAGGTCTAAGCAGGGAAATTACAAGCTGCTAATGGATGCTAACCAACCATTTTGTTAGGCTGCTAAGTAGGTGGTGGTCTTAAGTTAAACAGCATTGATAACTCTTACCTGCTGGTTGGATGGGCACTGCAGGTTGGATGTATGTAAAACTGTAGTTTGCATTCTGAGAATTGTCTGGGATCATTTTCCCACAAACTGTACCTACTTGGAGGAACCCGAAAATGCCTTAACCTACAGAAGAACTGTTCTGTGGTATTTAGGGGTTGACTGGGCTGTATGTGTGCATTCATAGCACTAAATAAATGGGAGATTTGGTGAGGGACAACGCACTAGAGGAGTTTATGACCTGGTGGCAATCACAG